AGAAACTTGAGCTCACTGGCCGCGGTATTCCTTTGATCTCTAGTCAAGCTGAATATAGCAACTAGCATCCCATCAGTCTTACTTCATTCTTTGTTTTACTTATATCCGCCATTACTCACTTTAAATAACAAATACACTTCACTACTTAATGTTGTAAATACAATGAAGTGTTTGTTAATTCATCTATTGTCAATATATACTAAGGTTTCTGTAGATATGTTAATTTGGTCTATATCATAGATACACTAGAAAAATATATTTGAATAAAATATTGTTTAACGCAAAGTTTACTATTTGTAGTATCAATCTTGCTGGTTAAAAAGATCTATTTGGAAAATTTATTATTAAAAGCATAAATAAAACATAAAAACATTATTTAAAAACATACATTACATGAATAAAGGAATTGCATACAATATTTTACCAATTATAGATTTAATGTATTTTTGTAAACTATTGTAATTTCAAAGAGGTTCAAATTAATTATATCCTATCTAATTCTAAAATTTCTTTAAATTATAAAAATCAATGCTCTTCATTTATTCAGAAATTTAATTGTATAAGTTTACTTCTGAATGAAAATTTGTTTTAGATGTCCTAATGGAATGATGTTTTGTTATGGAGAAGTAACCAGCTTAAATTTGATTAATATTTAGTTTTCAATAGCCGGGTAGGACCATAGTCACCATCTTGACAAGTTCAAAGCGATCTGTATTGACGGATAGTGAAAATTATTAATCTTGTATATTTTTTGTCAAAACATGATTTACACAAGTGTTTGGTTGAAAAAGAAAAACTCAACGAAAATCAATGTTGGCAATTATTAGAAGTGCTAAACTGAAAACAATTCAACTTTCTTTGATAGTGTTCCGTGCGTAGAGTGAACAAGAGAGAATCAAAAATGGCCATCTGAGAGATTGTAGATACAGCTTTCAGTAGACTTGCAGGTATTGATACTTTCAAAACACATCGTTGACTAAAGTGTGTACCCAACAAATGATAATTGAAGAGCTTCTTCTAAAGGCAAGATAATCTTGGGTATTCTATGTGCAGCAAGCAGATTGCCATCAAACAAAGACATGCTCAAGATTGGAGAGGTAGTCTTTGTGAAGTTGACCTGGTTACGTTCTTATTTGACACCAGTCAAATAGGCAGGCTAGAAGACGATAACAAATAGCACAATAAAAAGGATTAGAGGGTATTGAGAGACCACAGATCACGCCTTGTTCTACACCCACTTTTCTAGACACTTTTTATTCAATCTATTCTATACACCATATGCTTATCATACCTTACCTATTATATCTACCTTATACTCACCATTCATTTTATCTATTAGACTATAGACACTTGACAGGTAATGCTGTCATATAGTTATTAAATTACACTCTACTATTTTTTTGTCATTTATATTTAATTATGATATTAAAGATAGCCTTACAATTTAATGAAATATTTCACCCAAGATTTATGAAATAGCCTTTTTTCCTGTTAGAATTATTATCATTTAATTTTATTTATACTTGTAATAACTTTTCACAGATTGATTTAAGACAAAATAATACCTAAAAATATACGATTTTTCACTTCAAAATTCTGTTATTAATAATAAATCAAGTGCATTTCTCCCTGTAGTTTGCCACTTCCATATCTCCCTGCGTTATATTTTAGTGTAATATTTTAGTTTTCCTTATGTACATCTAACTAATGTTTTAGTTAGCATCCTTTTTTACATCTAATTAGACTGGATATAAATAATCTTGCAGGATGCATATCTGCTATACAATATTTTAATTTGCCACATGCATATTTTCTATGTACTAGTACAGTTTGCTACATGCATAATGCATATATCTCCAACATGGTTATAATAATTTAGTTTGAATCTTTTGAAGAAAGAAACCTCCATCCACCACAATTAGTAGGGCTAATATATTTAGTGTGTCACTTGAAGTTTCCATGAGATTAGCCATCATCTATTTTTGTGTTATCTCAACTCCTTGATGTCATGTTAATTATGACTTTAACATGCTTGAATGATGTCCTACAAGGAAGATACATATTATTCTGCGTGAAAAAAATGGACAGATCCGAATGCTAATAATTAATTATCAAGATGCAGACTTGACAACAGAACTTAAATGCATGTATCTTTGTTATGATATACTGAAGTAGAAAATGTGTTTGTAGATGATTAAAAATCTTTAACATATAAATTAAATTATGATGTTAAAAATGTTGTAGGATAGGTTTATTTATGAGCTGGGAAGTAAACCATCTGTGTTGTTTATGGTTACTGTTAAGCAACATGGTTGAAAAGATTGTTATTTATAATATTGATGTATCATTTTTCACCTGAAGAAAATATGGTCATTCATCCTTCCATTAAACCATCAATAGCAGACAAAAGATCATTTCAAAAATAGTAATATTCTTAAAGATTTGACAAAAAACAATGACCTGTGGCTATGTGCGTGTTATTCTATATTTAATAAGGACATAAAGAATAATTCAGTGGATCAATACTTTGTTATGCTTGACAAACTACTGATTATGTTTTTATTAAGAAATTGAAAATACTAAGGGTACTGCTTTTATTAAGACTAATTATTATTATTAGCAATTATCTCAACATATGTTTTTTGTGCTCGTAAATTTCATATTGTTAGTTTTTTACCCTGAAATATTTATCAGAAGACAGTTCCTCTTTCTGCATCAAGTGAAGCAAACACTTTATTTTCATCAAATATCCGATTTGAATTAAATTATTGAAATGTTAGATAAACTCTTAGGATCATTATTAGGCATGTAGAGAAAGTTCTATTTATAAACAACAACTCACTGTATACATTGTCAATGCCCTTAAAGTTTGTAAGAGATCTAGTGAAATATGACAGTTTTGAATTTAAAAAAATCCTGCGAGATTAGCGATTGGTATTGACGTAACGGTAGTTGATGATATTGTGAACTGAGTAATTGAAATGTCCCCCACCAGACATATTGATGGTGTCAGTCCTGATGAGCATACGCTTTTGTTACACAATGAAATAGGCTCAAGGGAAAAAACAAATTGAAGAAAATGAGCCGAAGTATATCAATGACGTTTACCTCTTGCTAGTTTATGTAAAGCCATTTCATTAAGGTAATAGGTAAAAGCGAGAAGATTAATAGACAGCTTTTGACGTAATCAGTGCCACAGACAGCTACATATAATAAAAGTAGAAGGTAAAAAAAATGGCTGAAATGATGAAGTTGATGTCAGCTTATGACAAAAATACCCCTATACATTTTACATACACAGTATATAATACAAAGTTGAACATCTTAAAATAGATTTTCTCGCTTTATCAATTTTGTCCCTCCCAAAACATTCTTAAAACAAAATATATCAATGGCAGTAAACAAAAACTAAACAGAGTTTTTCAATTGTGTACAGAGCAAAACATTATAGATATTTTGATATGTCAGGCAAAATAGCCGATTTTTAAAAAAAAATTCCTGCTTTTTTAATATGATTACTATTAAGAGAAAATCTAAATGTGGGGATTGTATGTTGACTGCGCAGATTAATGTTTTATTACCTGTAGCCATATTGTTCTAGGTTTTTATGTACATTCTTCCATTTTCCTTTCCATTTTTGAAATCTTGCGTTTGTTGGTTAATTTTGTTTCATTTGTAACATTCCAACCTAAAATGGGAAATACTATTCAGATTGGAATTTTACCTAAAATCTGGGTCGGCCATTGTTTGGATAACTTGAAATAATTACTCTCATTCTCTAAAAGTGGCCCATGTCAATCTCTGAAAACATTGCCAAGAAAAAACCTTCAGAGTTCCGTATTGCAAATTGAATGAAGAGTTGATCATTTAAATCTGGACTCTTTTTTTTCTAGCAATCGAGTGAAAGTGAACATTGAATGAGACAGGCGTGTATGGAGGCCACACGTTAGCGCCATGTATTTTTACGATGGAAGGCAGCATTGATTCACTTTAACTGTGTTTGATATTGATTGGAGTATTGCGTTAGCGATTGTTGTATAACGTGTGCTCTGACGAGATGATTGCTATGATAACAGTATTGACTTCGTTGTGGCACTGTTCAATGGAGTGTGAAAGACTTGCAGCCACCATTACTGAAAAGACATACTATGTTATTTTCCAGTAACTGGGCAATATTTAGGTTCAATTTTCATCTATATAGTAAATATAAGTCCACAATTACTGTCTTATTCATAAAAATATTGTCATTTAATTTTATTTGTAGTTTTTAAATGTGGTTCTTGAGATATCAAACAAATAGATACTGGTTTTCTGTATGTGATAGCTTGTCAAGATTTTATTTTAATTTCAATGACTATCAAGTGCAATACAATTTATTTTAATGCCACAAAAAACATCTTGATTATATTCAAGCTTAACAGAGTTACCTCCCTTACATTATCTATTAACTTTACTGTCTGTCAGTGAGTCATAGGCATGACACAAAATATATAGAAGAAATTGATTTGTTTTTTTTTAGGAGGAATTCAGATGTCTTTTTCCTTCCTTTGCACTTGATTAAATTAAATGAATAAGAAAGCCATTGGCATTTTTTATTTAAATGGTGCGAAATGTCTGTATTCTATCAATCATGTATATCGTAAAGCAATCTTAAAGACTGTTTGATTGCTTTGTAATGGATTGTATTGTTCATGTAGTGTGATGCTGTTACAGACAAAAAGACTAAAGAGAATCATATGCTATTATCTATATACTATAAATATATGATATATTCAATCATATATGGAATGTTATCAATATATTCATAACACTATTGGAGACCATTATTCCACCGAATCACATGCCATAGTATAGTATTTTTTTTATATAATGGCTGCAATTATTAAATGGGGAACTAGTTAAGCAATGTTATTGTTTAATAATGAAAAAAATTATTGCTAATTCCCAATAGTATTTATTTAGTTATTTGAAATTTTACATCTTCATTTTAATTTTTTCAGATAAAGGGGGATCTGTTCAGCCACATGGACCCATGGGCTTCTTTATGCCCCATTTTCCAGCCTATCCAAATGGTGCTAGTATGGTAAGTAATTTTCCAAATGGCTAGAGATGTTGAGATGAAAAAATATTTTATCTGATCAATATGCTACCGTTCATGCATGTTAAAGATGGGACCCAATATTTGTACTTGCATTGTTCAAAAAATCCAAAAATTTGTATATGCCCCATTGAAATGTTTATACCTTTGTCCATCTGTGTGCCCAACATTAACAATTTCTTGCGAACACTCTACAAGCTACATTTATCACAAACTCGTGTTGTATACTGTTCTTGATCAATCTGTCACAGCCATGGTCCTTGATCACTTTGAAAGATCTTGTGGACCCTCTAGTGGCTAAAGTTATAATCTGATTGATTTTAAATTTATATACAGTGTTTATGGGACAAAGAATGCTATTCAACAATTTCAGATAACTTGAACAGTTTGAAGAGCGCTTGGCTCTATTTTTTGAAACCTTAAAATATACAAAAATAGGTCTAAAAGCACATTTGAATGTAATATGAATGTATATAAAACAAATTATATTAAATTTTTAAAATATTATTAATTTCTAATCAGTTATGTTCGGTAATATACGTGAACAGTTCAAATTAAACGACAGTTTGTAAATAAGTAGTTACTAATAATTACTTCCGCATTGTCTTGTACTAGGATATGTTTTTCTTTGTTCATTACAAATGAAGCCCAAAATCATAGAATACACAGATTTAAGTATCTTTTAAATTCCCCCCCCCCTGACCTACAAAAAGAATATATCTTGCATGTAAGTAAACTAGAGGAATTGCTCTAACAAGGGAGGTAAGAAGAAATAGATTTTCTTACCACTTTAAGCAACATGTATATTAAATTATAAATCAGATTTTATTGAATCGTATCATGTACTACATTAAAATAGTGTTATTCACAAATAATAGTTAATATAGATCTCTTAAATCAAAAACCGGGGTTTAAAATGGATATGAATATGATCAAATGTTAAAACTATGTATTTAACTATTAAATCATGCAGAAATGCCTCAAATAAAGATTTTCAAAACATGGTATTTTAGTCTCACCTAGGCCCTTTCCTCAATATTGATTTGTTGACTTGCATCAGGCCCTGTGTCCACCTATCTGGTTAGTCAAGGTATCATTAAAATTAAATGACGAGGGTAAATATATCCAAAATTGTCCAAGCAATATGTTTTCAAATTAGTGCCAGGTTTATTCAAATGAATTCTTTGGTGAAAACTTTTTAAATAATTATTGATATTTTGAAACATTTATTTATGTTTTAAACATTTATTTATGTTTTAAACATTTATTTATGTTTTAAACATTTCAAATAAATGTTTAGCATTGTGATAATTACTATTTGTTAATGTGGTTGACTTTGGAGAAGATGGGGGTGTCTCTTCTACTAGAAGAGAGGCTACATTTGTCAGTCAAAACCGACACAGTGAAATTGACCAACACAAATGTATCTGTCAATCAATTTACTAACTATACTATACAGGATGTTTCTGAGAATTACAGCTTAAAACAGTATAGACACAACCCAGGTTGTGTGAAAGGTTAAAAATATTGGTTTACAAATTCAAAGTACTAAAGAATGATTTATCTTCCCTTAAAAATTGTCCAAACATTGGAGTGTGAGCACATTTTGATATTAAGAATATAATTGAATGATTATCTTATATTAAACATACATTATGCAAGAGCTATTTATCTGTCTATTGCAGGTCTTTCTTTAGGCCTGAAATATTATCTAAATTATTAATTAGACATTAATTAACCAATCCAGACCATAATCAACTCTCGATGGCATCGCTAGCCTGCGATCTTCAGTGGATTATGAACCGATTTACTGCATAACTTTCCTTCACGATTTAATGATTAAATGGATAATCAAGACTATGCTGTTTATCGTATTGACTTTAGTAATGATGATCGAAGCTAGGCGGAAATTTCAATCGCTTCATTCTCGGTTCATAGTAAATCAATTTGAATGAAATTTTCAGCAAATTGCCTGTACGTTATCTAGTTTTTAACTATAGTGAGAACTGCCAACTCGTTATCTAATCTCCCATAATGTATCTTTAATTTAGGGAAACATTTCGTTTTAATTTGCCTGCATATATATTAATTGCTCTTACATGTGTATTCCCAAATGAAAAATGCAACTTTTTCTTAAAAAGTAATAACTAAGTCCCTTTTGTGATGTCTAGTTATATACCTTGACAACATCATATAAATAATATATATTAGTTTATGATTTCATTTTACACCTTTTACACATTACCACACAAAAACAGCCTTTTATTTACTTATATGCATGTGATAAATATTAGTGTGTGTTGCCTTTATCTTATGTGTCGGTGACACCAGTGAGAAGTGTCAGAATTGTGGCACTCTGTCACTAGTGTCACTCTAATTTCACTTGGTAACTGTCTGACAGGACAACCTTGATGCTATAAAAAATATTTTAAGATAATTAGTTACTATGTAAAGAAAGATTCGTACTAATTTCTAGAATACCTGTCGTCATGCGCAAGACCTATCTCTACTTGAGCTATGCATTTATTTATTAACACTAACAAGTTGTTCAGTGGGGTAATAAGAATGTTTCTCATTTTAATTCAAGACACACTGATTCGACACATCCTACTCATATAGCAAGCTGTATTTTAACTGCTGCCTGGGCAATATTCTCAATCACACTGCACACTTCAAATAGAATAATTATTTTTTGTGCGAATGAAAAAGGACCAAAGTACAAGTTTCGAAAATATTTAATCATTTAATTTTGCCCTAACCTTAAAAACACGGCTAAAGTGTCTGAGGCGTAAATATTACATCAAGACTAATCTTTCATTGAAAAACTTATGCACGAAGTAATATCGGAATGGCAAGTACATGTTACATATAGTATTTCTGATCGATTTTTCAGTTTATATGGGTTGAATGTCCCCTTATTTAAACCAAAGTAACGCTTTATGGGAATTTATACACTTTAAATGGTACATTATTTAAAGATGGGTTCCCAGAAAAGTATTTATCGGGTGGTTCTTTCCAATAAAAGTATGGCAATTTTGGTATGAAAAGTAGAGATATCCAATCTCACTAGAAAAATACTGGATTCCCCGAAAAACACTCATGGAGCGTATACAGGACAAAAATGTAAGGGTTCCCCTAATCAACAGCCCGACGATTAGGAACTTCTGCACACGTGATGTCAAAGGTCACAAGCGAACATTGATCGCTTGATGTACAAGTTGATAAACTTTATGAAGAGTTAGTAGTACAATATTTTCTGAGATAAAAAGACGCGGGTAGTGGATAATCTGAGAATTTAATTAGGATTCGATATTTGTAATAAATAGTAAGCGTTTAAAGACAACATCGTCTTATATATGCAATGAATTCTCCTCTGACACCCAAGACGTGACGTAAACATGGTTTGATCGAATTTTAATAGCAGGGCATTCCTTCGCAATTACAATGTTTTAGAAGGATTTGAAGCATAATTATGACAAATTAATTAGTTTGAATATGTTTTTGGTCCATATATACCATTAAATCACCCAGTTTGTACGCGGGAACCCATCTTTAATATAGTTTCTGTGCATCATTTGCATTTTTCTGGAAATGTAAAATATTCTACAGCTACATGTAAATGTACACTAAAATGTACTCAGATTGATTATTTGCCACTGATCTGATGCAGTCAGATAAATAAGAGGTCCATCAAAAAAGACTAGCCAAGATTAAGGCGCAGCTGACGTTTGACTGTATCCTGTTTATATCGTCTGCATTGGAGGCCGCATGTTGACAGATTTTTAGTTCATCTACCTTTGTAATACTGAATGGAATTTTTAGACGGATTGTCCTTTAATGATTCAACTTTCACAATATTGTAGTTTCTAAGGGATTATACAATCCCTCAAATGAAGTCTAGAGGCTTCAAGGTCTTAAGCTAAAGTAGTGTATGATTGCCAAAGTAGTGAAATTTAATCAATTAAAAGCTCTTTCATTATGATTTCAGTATAACAATCTTTCATGTTCTATAAACCATTTACTGCTACGATTGTTTACAACCTTACACCATTCAGAAATGTTGTTAAAAATCATTATATGATTCATTTTGTGCTTTTGTTGTGTTCATCCTTATCTTATTATACTGTTTTCATTTTGTTTTTAAAAAGATAGATTTCCCAGCAGTAAAAGCATGAGGGAAATTTTGCCCGGACTACGGCACTACGGCCAACTCTTATACTGAATTCCAACTGTCAAGGGATCTTTAACGTGCACGTCAATGTTTACAAGGGACGTCGTTTGGTTTTTTTTGTCCCATCTGAACAAATAGACAGCTGTCCTTTTCAGGACCTCCGTTCTGCATCACTGACAAGGGGGAACCAAGCCGGAAAATGTGGATGAACTTTCTCGGCCAATGCAGGGATCAAACACTCGACCTCCAGCCTAGCGAGCCACCGTCTTACCCATTTAGCCACTGTGACACCCCAAGCACACCATTAAGGTTGTAACATTAAAATTAGGACTTTGAGTAACACAAAAGTAGAAATTTATATAGGTAAACATCATTTGAACATCCATAAGTCGGGAAGTAATTGTCAAAAACTTTTATGAACAAGTAAACAGTATCTTTGACTGCCAGAGATTTTATAAGATTTTATACGGGTGAAAAGTCTTAAAAAAATATGCAATAATAAAAAAAAAATTTTTTTGTCTTAAAATAGCACTTTGAAGTAGTTTTAATGAGAGTTCACAAGATTTTACAAAGTTAGCAAGGACAATATACAATCATATGTAAAAGTGAGCATACAAAAATGGATTAATTGACATTAAATAAACAGTTGTGCTTTAATTTTAGTGAAACGAAGAAGCCTATTGAATTTCAGCAATTTCCGTTCATTACGTCTAGAGTTATGGCCCTTGTTTCACTTCATTGAACCTTGTGAACGCTCTAACGCCAAAAGTTATCATCCGATCTTTGTGAAATTTATATGCATTATCTAAATTAG